GAAGGCAAATTGACTACAGGCCAGGAGAGTAACCCTAGACCCTCCTGCCTGCCTCCCATTCTGTCCTCTGGAACTGTCTGGTTAAGACTGTGTCCAGGAAATCCAGGCAAGCTCTCTAATCCAGGGTGGTTACTATTACATGTGTAGCCAGCGAAGCACCCCACTCCCATGGAGCCCCCTAATGAAAACCTCATGTGTCCACTTGGATTGCACAGTCAAACTTAGGCTAATTCCAGCTGGGCTTCATGCCGAAGGTATTACCTCACTCTTGGGTAAACCAGCAGGGACCCCAGAAAGAGAAGATCGGTGTGTGGGCCGGATCTGCTCCTAATCATAACCAGCTGGGATAGAAAGGGCTACCACCACCCCCTCTTTTGCTGCCCCTGGATATCAGGGTCTGTAGGCAGGAAGCATGGTCATCTTACAGCTAAGAATCCTAAGCCCTATCCCAAACACCCCTATTTTGGACATCATCCCCATAAAAATCCCTACCATTCCACATTTTCCATGCCAAAGAGAAACTTAATTAGGGAGGACTGAATCTCTGTGGAGGATCCCCAGCAACAGAAGCAAGGAAGGAAGGATATAATTAGAACTTGACTTTTTTTTTTTTTTAACAGAACAGCTCAGAAGGCCCCATTAAGAGAAGGACACTGAAAAACAGTCAATTCATCCATATGCAGACCCCGGTATTCTAGCAATTTCACTTCTTGGCATTCTTTATAAAACATTTAAGACACACATTTCAGCTGCAGACTGGGCATTTTCCACTTAGCTCTTTCACATCTAGGCATTTAATAACGTATAAAGGCAATTCCCTTTTGCCTACACCGCTGCATTAATTTAATATATTTTGTATTAAATCTGTTATAAGCAACAAAACAAAGCATGGAAGAAGCTGTGCTTCAAAAATAAATAGGTATATTTTTATTTTGGGTCACCATGAAATAGATAATGAGTTGGACTTTTGTCTAAGGAATTCATAAAAATATTGGGTCCCAGTGGTGGTGCAATGGTGCTGACACTGGACCCAGGTGGGAAAGATCCTGGGTTTACATCCTGGGACCTCCCTGAGGACCACTGGTGCATGCATGTGTCCGCAATTCAGGCTGGCTGGGATTAGGGGATTGTATCACACTGTGAAGACCTATTGGATGTCTCTCTCTCTCTCTCTCTCTCTGTCTCTCTCTCTCATGGAAAAACCAAATGAATAAAATTTTTAAAAAGAGAAAATAAATTCTCTATTAGAGTTCCTTGTAAGTTATGCATTCAGCCTTGGTAGCTGAGTCTGAGAAGTTGCAAATAAACTGATAAAACTTAAAATCTCTTAAACCACATGCCAGAGGGAACTTTTGCCTGAGCTGATGAACAACTTAAATAAGTCCCATAGGATTCCAAATCCTCACAGAATCAGGGAGGATTTACAATAATGTAAAAATACCTCCAGGAGCCATGGTCTAATGAGAAAATATACAAAGAACAAGAGTGGACTTTGATGAAGATCCTTAAATCTTATAGGAATAACTATCTCATAATAGCTTGTTTTATTAAAATTGCTAATCCCATTTGCATTTAACCCATTTGACAAGGTTCCATTATAGGAGTTGTATGAAGAGAATCAAAAGCACAAAACCTTAGTTCCATAAGCAGAGACAGAGGTTAAGAATTTTATTATTTTTAAAAAGGAAACATCTTTTCCTGCAAATGGATCTCTGAAATGATGATGGAAGTCAATGGAAGAAAGATCTTGCTATAAAATATGCGCTTTGCTCCAGCTTTTCAAAAATATCTCTAAAATACAAAGCAAGGTCAAATCAGGCCTGCAAAGACATGGTGAGTCACAATCAATCAGGGTTGTGAGGACAAACTGGGACTGCTCATACAACTGAATACCCTGATAAACTATCTCCATCCTGGACCCAAAAATAAATGTCCACAGCTGCACTTGGTGGTTGGCACTGGGGTGCATTCGCCATATGGTCACCCTTATTATTATCTCCCCAACCAGACCAGCAGGGTAACAGGAGAAAACCATGTTCTTGCAATTAGCCTGCAGGCCAAGCAAATATCTCCCTACGTGACCTTGGTCTATTCCCCCAAAGACACTTTCTGGTCCTCTCCTCTGATTCCTGTTACTTGGGTCTCTACTTCATGTTCTCCCTAAGAGTGTCAGGAGCCCATCACTCTAGAGCTAAACTGTTTATGCTTAGAATTAAATTGCCTTCCTGGAGTTGGAGGGACCATGTGTTAACAAGACAAAGTATGAAGGCTCCTCCCTGGATCTTCAGCAAAGCCCAGAATCTAAATGTCAGGAGGATCGCAGTAAGTTTGGGACAGACCTTAGGATTTTAGGGCAAGAAAGAACTTTAAAATCATCTCCTATAGCTGTTATTGTTATTTTTCTGAAGTTTACTTATTCCTTTTGTGAGAATTAGAGAGAGTGAGAAAGACAAGCACTCTTAACAGGGTCTCATACCGTGATCCCCCCATATCCTTTCTTGCCACCAGGATCATGGGCGTGTGTTCCCGGCATGAACAGGTCGACTAGGGAACCGAACCCTAATCTTCCGCACAGACTCAGCTTCACTTAAGCAATGCATTACAGCAGTGCCACCACACTAGCCTGAATATAGTCATTTTTTATCTTTACTTTTTTTTTTTAATTACCTAACATTCATTCCCTGAGCATCATCACAGCGTATTAAATGTAATTTCCCATCTAGAATAGACTGCATAGTGACTTAATCAAGCATGTTATCATCACTAATATTCCATTTCTACTTTCTTGCTTATGTATATATGTTTTTTTCTCTCTTCCTCTTTTTTTTTTCCCCCTATGTTTGTCCCTCTGCCCTTTCCCACTCTCTCCTTACAATATCTCTGCTATATACAGTTGTCTTCCAGAAGAGTTATTGAAAAAGTGATACATACAAGTAAAGGGAGAGAGGCCACGACTTCCAATTATCAGCTCATAAAGTTTTTGACAATAGGGAGCATAGGTTCTATTCAGGGTTGGATAAAGGGAGGGTCTCCTGCAGATCCACAATTGTAGGTGAGTCTCCAGGGAATGCAGTTTCAGGAAAGCAGTTCTGGTACGCAGGGATGATTATCAGCTGATGCGGCACAGCAGTCATCTTGTAGTTACCAGGAATGGTGTTGTGGGGGTCTGCAGTGTGAGTTGTCCTTGGGTATCTGGCTTCCTTAAGAATGGCAGAGTAGTTCTTGTTTTCCCCTGAGGTAACGCAGGGCTGGTAACTGTCATCTTCTCAAGTTGCAAGCTCTTCAACCTTGTTTACGGCCTCCGGGCCATCCAGCTCCGGAGAGGCCAGGGATGCTGGGCAGGGGCATAAGCCCCTGGCTGCGCAGGGGGCGTGAGCCCCGGGCCGCGGGGGGGCCCCCACCATAGCGAGGGCCGGCCGTTCCGGCGACCGGTTGCGCAGGGGCCCATGAGCCCCCCCACCCGGCCGCGGGGCCCCCACCGGAGCGGGGATTGGACCGTTGCCCAATATAGTCATTTTTTTTTTTTCTTGGAGAGATTTTCACTGTAGGGCGCGTGCGCTCGCCAGACAGACAGAGACATAGAGACAGAAAGCGAGAAATCACCCCCCAGGGGGGATGGTCACGCCGCAATCCCTTCTCCTCCATTCTCCTCTCGGGATCTTGGGCACGCACACACACGTGCCCGGCGTGAGTTTTAAGCCACCAGGTCCGGGACACGAACCGCGGTCTACTACGTGGGAGTCCAGCGACATAGCCATTACGCTAACTGCTGGTTCCTATAGTCATTTTTTTCAGAACTTTTTAAAATCAGTGAAAGTCTTTTTCCCAGTGAGTTTCTCTGTAGAAACCTAGTATGTAGGGGCCAGTAGGTGATGTGGTGGTTAAAGGCGCTGGACTCCCACATGGCCAACCGCAGTTCGAGTCCCAGACTTGGCGGCTTGCTTTCTCACTTTCCCTCTCTCTATCTGTCTCTCGCTGGTCAAATTAAACAACAACAACAATAATAATAATAAATGAAGTTAAATTAAAAAAAATTCTTAAGAAAAAAGGAAACCCAGTGTGTAAAGCAGATATAAAAGAAGCTGTTAGGTCATACAATGGTATATGATTTGACTGCATGAAGTAGTGATATATGCTAAATATGGTGAACCTGGGAAAATGCAACATGAAAGAAGCCAGTCGTACAGGATTGCATTCTGGATAATTCCACTTATATGAACTGTCCAAAAGAGCCTGCTCTATAGAGGTGGGAAGTGTATGGTTGGTTGCCTAGGACTTGGAAAGGAAGGTTTGGGAGGTGAAGACTAAGAGGTAAAGGGCTTCTTTTTGGAGTGATGAAAATATACTAAAATTGATTGCACTACTGGTTACATAAATCTGTAAATATGTGAAAAGCCACCAAATTAAATAGTTTATATGGGTGAATTTTATGGTACATGAATTGTATCTCAATAAAAGCTTTTTTTTTTTAATGAGAGGTTTTTGCTACCAGGCGTATGCACTTGCTAGAGAGACAAAGGGAGACAGAGAGACAGAAAGTGAGAAATCACTCGCCCAGGGGAGATGGCCACACAGCAATCCCTTCTCATCCATTCTCCCCTTGGGATTTTGAGCACGCACGCACACCCATCTGGTGTGAGTTTTAAGCTACCAGGTCTGGGACTCAAACTGCAGTTGATTTCATGGGAGTCCAGAGACATAACCATTATGCCATCTTCAGGTTGCAGATAAGCTGGGGTTTTTTTAGGAGGGCAAGGGTACTGCTCTCACTGTTCTGCCAGCCAGGCCTCCTTTCTCACTTCACTCCTTCAGTGGCCCCAGAACCACCTCCACTGGTGGTTTGAAAAATCCCTGATCTATTGATAACTCAGATTTCCCTTCTTCAAATGTAAGCCAAGACATGAACCCGAGTTTTCTGATCCAAAATGCAAGGCCTTGGTAAAACCAAGGCTCGTGGGACAGGAACTCATCTCTGGGAGAAGCAGCCTGCCCCGTCTTACCATCCATGTCCAAGCGCTGCATGATGATGGCCAGCTCCACCTCACTGGGCATGTACCCCAGTGAACGCATGGCCATGCCCAGCTCCTGCTTGGAGATGAAGCCGTTCCCATCTCGGTCCAGCACCCGAAAGGCCTCACGGATTTCTACAGGGAGAAAGCAAAGAAAGTCCAATGGTCACACAGCTGGGCTTAGGGCATCAAAGGTATGGGTGATGGTCTACTGACATCGCCTCATGCTTTACAGAAAGTGAGATGTTCAAATATTTTAATCAGAAAAAGAGAGGTCAAAATAAGAACAAAGGTAAGGAAGAAAAGAGGGGGATAAAAGTAAGTGAGAGAAAATGGAGAAGGGGAGAGAAGGGAAAAAGAAAAGGAAAGAAAGGGAGAAGGAAAAAACAAAAGGATGAAGAGAAAGAAGAAAGGAGAGAAGGAGAAAAAAGGAAAGTGGAAAGAGAAATAGCTTCAGCCATCCTGAAACGCCATAGCAATCACGCAATTGGTCAGTGGTCCCAGTACAGTCATATTAACCAAAGACACTTTCTGAGCAACCATGACAATTAGGTTTCAGTTGTGCGACTGCTGCCTCTTAACGTCACCATCAGACCTTAGGAAGAAAGGAGAATGAGATTACCCTTTGCAGGCATATTTCAGATTCC